TTTTTTTTTTTGTTTAAAGTATGAAGCATTTTTGTGAAAAAAAAAATCCGGAAAAATTAAAATTTTTGCACTTACTGTGAAAAATTCTCAGTGCCAATTCTTTTTTCCTTTCCTTTGTATGTAAAATATGTTTGCATTTATTCATTTTCAACTTAAAATAGTAAGTATATCTATAATATATGTATATTAAAAATAAAAAATAATACAAATATAGTGCGATTCAGATAAAGAAAATTATAGGAAATTAAATACATACATATATAACTTATTTACATCTTTTTTGGAAGTCAGATGGTATGGAATGCTTAACATTCATATCTGCAAATGAGTTTGAGATCTTGTTTGGCCATGTTCATAACCAAAAGTAGATATGATTATAATTTATTTAATGCAAGGCCGTGGCCCACCATACATATGTATATCCTCTTTGGAAAAATTACTCATGATGTGTGTATGTATTTATACATGCGATTATGAATTCATGCATATTTAGTTAATAAGTATAATAAATAATATTGCATAAAATATATTTTAGTTAATGAGATAAACATATTTAATGTGTAAATAAACTAGCGTTAGTATGTGAGCAATTGTAAAATGACCAGTTGCCGCTTTAAGCTGCCAAGGAAACTTTTTGTCTGGCATTTGTAGTCTTTTTTCCGTTTTTGTGATACCGATGTTGTGATTGATGTAAATGTATTCGTGATCATCTATATCGCAACTATTCTGAAGGCGTTAGATCTTTCTCTGGTTCGTTTTCATTTAAAATTTGTGAAAGTAAATCGTGAACCGGTTCAAAAGCCTTTTTCGCGCCGCTATTCGTCAAATTTTTATAGTCGAACATATCGTGATGACTAATAGTATTGTCTGCTTGTAACAGACCTTTGTCGATGCAAACTGTTTGCACCTGATTGAGACCAATCACTTTCTCCTTTACAATTCGATTCACCTCGGAATTTTTTCCTCTAAGCTTGTTCGGAAGATGGCCGCGAGGTAGTAAGGTCTATAATTTTAAGTAAATTCGGAAAGAATGAGAAGATATCATTAAATGGTGTAGTAATTTATATTTATGTTGAAACTTACCGGTAACACGATATACGCTCCTGGCAACTTCGCTCGTATTCTATGCACTATTTCCACAATGCCTTCTGCTATCTGCTCAGCACTATTTTCTATATTATTTGTTCCCACGTGCAATACAACAATCTGATATATAATTAGAAATATGAGGTAAGCATATTGGATATACATATATATAAAGCTCCAATAATAAAACAGGTAGATATCCCTACATTTATAGCAGTGAAACCAACCTTCGGTTTAACATTGTCCAATTCGCCATTTTCCACGCGCCACAGCACATTTTCTGTTCGATCGCCGCGAATGCTAAAGTTAAGGCAATGCATCGGTGCAAAATATTGATTCCAAGTTTCCGAATCCTGCAGAGTTTCTAACACACAATCTCCCAAAAATATGACGTCGGGATCCTTCTCTCGGCATTCGGAAATGAAACGCCGATGAATGCTAAAAAAAAAAAAATTTTTTTAGAAAACGAAGCATTTTTGGTATGCTTCTGGTGGAATTTATTTAAATTTGGAGCTAATTAGCATACCAAATCCAGCGTTCGTCGCCATCTAAGTCCGGGCATTGGGTGGCTACAACACAAGGGTTCATAATCTTTTTTTTTTACGAAAAAAATACACACTACTTTTAAATACTAAAACTATCAAAGAACGCTTTGAAATTTATTGCAAAGAGCTTTCTTATAGAAAATTTCCGGTCTTTTATTTTCCAATCAATTCATAAAAAAGAAATTTCCGCAAACCAGACTGACGTTTACACAATTCTTCTTCGTTTATTACCAACCATTCCCAATGAAGTAGGGATTTCGGAAAAACATCGATGCATCGAAAATATCGATGTTTTGCTTCGATTCATCGAAAATTTTCCACTGGATGTATAAATAGGAAGTTTTTTCAAAATTGACATCTACGGTACATTGAACCGTCATTCCAGTTTTTATAATTGTTCAAAAAAAGAAGTGACTTTGGCCAAAAAATTTAAATGTCTGCAAGAAGTTCCGTTAGACACACAGTTAGCTCAGTGCAGTAATTTATTTCAAATTTTCTACAATTTCGCTAATAACATATTTTGTTGTTAAACATTATCTGAAAAATCTTATGCAAATCGATGCATCGATGTATGCCCTTCGATGCATCGAAAAATATCGATGTACATTTCGATGAATCGAATCAAACAAAAACATCGATGCATTTTTGCCACTGACATCCCTACAATGAAGATTTTTGGGTGTATCTAATTAAATGTTTACGGTATGGTATTGACGGTACCAGCAGAGAACGTACCACACAATTTTCTTTCGTATGGTTTTCGATCCGTGAACGGATGTTACGATTCGAGCCCTGGTTTGACCCGTGCGAACAAGTGTGAGTGGGCTTTAAAGATCCCCGCTTGTAAAAAAAAAACTTAATAACAGAAATTGCTTCGATAAAAATCGTAATAGCCAGAAATAGTATACTCAGATACACGCGCCTTTTAGAAAGCTCCTATAGTTGATGTCCAGTCTGCTTTAAAATCATGGGCAACAACCGCATTTTTAAGTATAAACATGCAATATTTCTTTAATAAATATATTTTAGTTCAAATTAGTGTAACTACTTCATAGCCCATGAACTGAGGTATGTGTATGTTCTAATATGCCAAAAACCAGACTGACGTTTTATACCTGTCATTCACAATAGGAGAAGGTGTTGCTGGCAACATTGCGTAGGATACGTCATAAACAGTGTTTGCATTTTCTTTGATCTTTGTTTCCCTCGGGTATTTTTTAAAAACCTTTTTATATAAACTTTTATAAAAACACGATGCGGAAGTCTTTGATTTTAATTTTTGCACTTCTGTAATTTTATTCAACGAATATTAATTTTAAAACATTCGGTCTCTCATACTAAAGTTTGTTGGATAAAAAATTGGGAAAAATACTGTGTAGGCAACATTGTCTGCCAGCGACGTGAAATTTTGGAGGAAAAGTAAAAGAAAAAAGAAAAGGTGACTGAACAGACGCAAGCAAGCGAGTGGTGTCGTTGATTTTTTCGCAAACGTCTCAATTTCTTTAGAAAATCTTTTCATTTATTTATATTTACAATATAGAAGTGTAGGAAAATGCAGTTTTGGAGCACTCGAAAATGTCGCTGCTTAGCAATTTTTATGGTAAGTAATTGCAACAAATATGTTACCCACTGCAAAGCGAACTTAGCACAATGCATGAAATTTTCTGGAAAGTTTTCTTTCGTTTTCATTCATAACATTAAAGGGTGGTATATTACATATTTTCAGGTAATTTACGTCCTTTATAATCCTACGGATTCTGGAGCTGTGGACATGACCAGTGAAAATGTTGACATGACACTAGGTAAGTGGAAATCCATGGCAAACCGATCACAGCTCTTTGAACGGAGTAGAGGAGCGGCAAAAATTAAGCTCGATTACGCTTCTCAAACTACCGTTTTTATTCCTCTTGACGTGTCAATGGCAGATGCAGTCTAGCGCTTAGCCAAAAATGCACAGTTAAGCGATTCAGATGTTAGTAGAACAAGTGAAACTCAGTTTGTACGTGTCGCGTTCTTGAATTTCTAACACTATTTAAATAGATTTTGGCTTTGTGTGTCGAAATGAATCAGATAGTTTTTTTTTAACATATGTATGAAGTACCGATGAGAAGTTTTTCAGGGAAACCAGTTCCCAGAATGCGTCGATTTTGGGGTTAATTTGAGGTTTGAACGTTCGCCTCTTTTCGGCGAAAAATCGATGTGTCGACAGTACTTACTGCAAGCACATAAATGCTTGGACACCGATTTCCTTTTATGGATATTTTGACTTTTTGATCCGGGGGGCCAGGAAGACCAGACAAGGGTTGTTTCGGCGAACGCCGAGTTCCTGCTAGCGAACGCCGATTCTCCAAGATTGTCACTGCAGCTGCTGGATGCATTGCGGAAACAAGTTCGAATTTGCGGCGAAGGCGCAGTTTTTTTTTATAAGCGGAAAAAGTGGGAGTAGTACCTAAAGACCTGCAACTTCGCCTCTGATGTGGTCAACATTAAGGTCACTGCCAAGCCCGACGAAGCTGGCAGACAAAGTGGAAGTATCATTCAGTGATCGTGCCTCGTCGGACACTGCTTCTTCCGGGGAACAGAGCCCGCGGTGAGGTGCAGGTGGCCATCACGAAGACGAAAGCTTCCAAAACTATTGGTCCCCTGATAATGAGCGTGATGCTGAAATGATGCGGTCCAGCGAAAGTAGATTACCTCGCCGCGTTCCACAACTTGTCTATGGTCACTCTCATTATTATCGATGTGTGATCAGGGAGATTGGTCCAACTGCTGAAACCGGAGAAGACTGGCAACAATAAGGAGTCTTATCAGTAGGCAACAATCCTCTCCCCCGTCGCGAAGACACTTATCACCTGACGTAAACGAAACACCAGCTTGGGGTTTCTCAAAGTTTACAGCACAATCACAGCATTTTACACTGATAACTCGAGGCATTAACTGCAACCGCCCCTGTAAGAGAAAAGTCCTAGTAGCGTTGGTTCCTCTCTTCCATAAGGACTCGAAACGCGGATTACCTGAGTGGTCGAGCGGTAAAGAATTCTCATTGATTTTTCATATTTTTTTGCTTATGGTGTTACGCATATTTCGCTTGAAACTTACACAATATGGACACAAAACTGCATACTCCATTTTCTTTTAAATTCTTATTAAAAATTTTAAAATTTTGATGATCATTTTTGAAAATTTGGCGAATTTTTATATATCTTGTATAAGATTTGAACCTTTGAGTTGTATGGTTTTTGTTATTGTATAAACTATATTTTTGTTAAAAGCATAAATAAAGAAACAATAAATGGTCAAAACTTAGGAAGTTGTGTACTTAATTACTTGGCCGCCACTGTATGTATGCATGTATAGCAGCCTCACAATTGTTTATCAAAACAGCTGTTTATTGTTTTAAAATATGTTTAAACAATTGTTAAAGAGTAGTAATTTTTTAAGAACTGCGTATTTCCTCATGTCGTAAACAGATCATAACCCTCATATAAGTTTTTAATTTAAAATATTTAGTTTAACCTACATAAAGGAGTTCAATGACGTTTAATAAATACATACTTATGTACGTACATATCGCACATGAAATGCAAAAAGACGTAACAACATCGTAACTGAAATGGAAAAAGTCGAAACTTAAAATTTTTATTTTTTTTCATTAAGTGATTTGGGAGTTGTAACTCGATGAAATCCATCATATTAATCAAAAACTGAATATTGAATTTTTTATTAGCTACGACTTTTAGAATTTCAGCGACGATGTTTGTTACGTCTTTTTGCATTTCAGGTGACGATATGCTGCTCATACCATACGTACTTAAGTATTTTTATTTGAATGTAAAAAAAGACGCCAATTGAAGATTGTAGGGCTTGGAAGTCCTATCCGGATAATCCAGATATTCGAATAAAAAAATTAGCAATAAAATAAGAATTGTTTGTATATTAATGAAGTGATTTGTAACAGCATCTGACAGCCCTGACCAGACATGAATCTAAGTCGGTCCGGTAGCGGATCCGTTCAAGTACTGTTTAGAAAGTCCCGACAACAAATTGAACGGATATTAACCGGATTTCCAGATTTTAGACTGGTGGGACATTTCACTCTAGAATGTGGACAATTGTAAATTATAACCATGGTAGAATTATACTATGCCCTGAGAACTTATACCACAGTGAAACATAATTTCTAACAGATAGCTAATCTATAAAATTCTTTTCCAAAAAATACCAAACGATTTCGAAGTTTTTTCTAACTATCATTTGAATGAATGTGACTGGTGGGAATTAGAAAATCCCTCTATTTTACCTTTGTGCACTCAAAGATGAAATATAGTCAAAAAACTTAATTCTGAATTCAGACTTTTTTTATGCTGTAAAATATATGCTATGTGCTTTCGTTTTCATTAAAAATTAGGCTGATATAATCTTCATAGAAATATTAAAAAAATGTTTAATGTTGCGACTGGTGGGACAGGTCCCTGGTACTAATGTAAAGTAATTATTTGTGAAGTTAAAGTTTCCATAGACAAAAACATTAAAGCTTCTTCGAAAGATCAATGAAGTGCAGTCAATTAGCTCTTGCCACTGAAATATGGATAATTAAGGCATTTTGAAATTTATGTCGTTTATGACTCTTTTACATGGAATGACCCATTTACTATATTTTCTTTTACTTTTTACAGCGTCTAACGAATTGGTTTTCCTTAATTTCTACGCCGAA